CAATGACTCGCTTCAACAATATTGTCCAGGCAGAAAGCGGGTTTGGGTTTATTGTCCCATTTATTGAATATGTTGACAATCACAAGGTCCAGAATGGCTATTTCTTGTCCAGGTTTATGTAAATGATGAAAGTTATAACGGCAAATTAGATGTGGCATATGAAACCAAAATGAAGCGGTAAAAACCGTGTGACCTCCCGTCACCCACAAAACGCCAATGCACTGCCACCTCAACACCTTTATAGGCTCCGCAGTGCCACCAGTGGTCAAAGGAAATACAAACCATAGTGCAATAAACTGAAATGTACATAAAACATTATCAAAATAAACTTAGACCATAAGATAATCTAAACCAAAACAATATTGGCTCCTACACACCGGCCCCTATTGTGTAGACAGCACAATAAATAACAAAATAAGGAGCCAAAAAATGTCCTAAGTTGTCCCATGCAGGATCTTCTCTCCATCTTATACAGCTGCTTGAAGAAGGCAGATCTTCGAGATGGGCCTCTCCAGCTGTCCGGTCTTCGTTTTCAGCTGAACTGCTCTAACAAGTCCATTTTTGTCAGGATAAGTGTTGATTATTCTTCCAAGTTTCCTTTTTTTTTTTTTTTTTTGCGGATCTTGAAGCCATGAAGTCCATAGCTGTGACATTGTCTGGGAGACAGGCTCAACCACTCTCAAAGTCTTTTTCCTTGGGTGATAGACACTGTGGTGTGGAAGATACCAGACTTTTCCTTCTTTGGGTTCCATCTGGTCAAGAGGACCTTTTTCTGCATAGCCTTTGTCGATAAGATCCATCATGAATGCTGTATATTCCTTTTTGTAGACTTTGTTCCTCTCAAACTTTCTTTTGAGGGTCTGAAGGCGTTGTGCCATAACACACCGGTTGTTGGGCATGATAATGTCATCCTTTTTGAAGGGCAAGTCCAAACAATAATGTCCATCCAGCATACAAGCTGAATTTTCCATTATTTCCATAAATTTCTTGTCCTCGATTGAGATTTCATGTTTTTCTTCCAGTGTTTTTTCATCAAAGTCTTGATTGTATTGAGATATCAACAGCTCCTCCAGTTTGGCAACAGAAATCCTGTTTGCGTAAACAGTTGTACAGCCTTTCTGGGTAGTTACACTGCTTCGCAGGGGACCATTAATGACCCATCCAAGTGGGGTTCTGACAGCATATGGTCCGTTGCCTTGACTGTTGATTATTTTCCATGGCTCCATGAGGTTTGATGCATTCATTCCAATCAAAAGCTCGACATCAGCATTCAGTTCCGGAATCCTGATGGTGCTGAGATAGTCCCATTTTTCAACATCTCTCTGAAGAGGAATGTTGTTCCGAGAGACTGGAATGGCTTCTTGTGTGTAAACTTCAGGAAGTTCTACAAAGCTGTTACTTTGTAGCCCCGAAATTTCCAGTCCAGTGGCACAACAGCTGCTCACCAACCTTTCTTGGCCCATAGTACGCAGCAAGATGTTAATCTTTGGGCCTTGCACGTTTAGTTTCTTCTTTAATTTGTTGGTAATGAAGGTTGCTGTGCTTCCAGGATCCAAGAAGGCATAAGTTTGAAACACTTGATCTCCTTTCTTAGATTTTATTTTGACGGGAACAATTGAAAGAGTACAGTCCTCTCCTCCATCAGTACAAACATCAGCCTTATGAGACACGAGGGCACTGCTGACAGGTGTTTCTTGGGCTTTAGCTTGTTCTTTGTCAGAATGTAGGATGGTAGGATGCTTCCGGTTGCATTTATCACAAGTGAGGCGATTTTTACATTCCTTACTCATGTGGCCAACCTTAAAACATCCAAAGCATATTCCCTTTCCTTTCAGAAATTCAATTTTATCCTTTTGAGGAATCCTGGTTAGCTTTGGACATTTCAATAAGGAATGAGATTGATCACAATATGGACAGGCTTCTGGAGCTGGACTTCTGGTAGCTACTGGCTGCACTTGTGGCTT